AGGAGAGGTGAGAAGACGGAATAACAAAAGAATAAGAGTTTTAGCTAGTTTTCAGTTACCTATCTGCTTTATGATAAAGAATAAATAATATTAATTATTATTAATTGCCAGTCTTCTCTAATAACGTATGGCAATTGCTTGCTATTTGAACCTTAACTCTGCCAATTGTCTTGTTATAACACCTTTTTCCTATAGAACATTAGATGAATTTGTAAGAACGCTGATTTCACCACGACGGTAATCTGGTTCAAATGGATGCATTTGGCAAAGATTTTATGAAGAGCTAAACTTGATGAAAAGACTACATCAAACGTCTTTTTTCCTTAAACGGTTTCAAATCTTGGCACTTTTGCTTACTTAACTCTAAAGTAGATGCCAAATATTCAGCTTACAAGGAGTGCACACTTTGTGGGAAATTTGTTCTCAACGAGAGAGAAACCAGTTGTCCGTCAAATGCTAAAGGTCCTCATGAATTGTCTAAAGGAGATGAGTAAAATTGAGAGTCAGCAGTTGCCAGACTATTTTGATGCCTGAGCTACCACTTTGTTTTTACGTACTGTTGAAGCACTTGCAGTGCTTGGAATCGGGTCAGGTAATTTGGTTCATCCATTTTAGTTCACATTAGAGAGTGGGTTTGGATGAACAACCAGCCTGATGATGCAAGTCTTGTGAATCTCGATGTCTGAATTACGGATATTAAAACATTTGATGAACAACTGTAACTGTTATAAAGTTGGTCTAGTATGCATAACCATCTCTTGCGAAATAAACACAACCTATACGTCCAAAATACATTTCATTTCATATCTTCCATTATCAATCAACAATACTATTACCGCTCCTCCAAGAAAGTTCCTTCCTTTTTTCGAAAAGCAATGCTAAAGATATTGTCGAATGTGATTTCTTAGTTGTATTCTGCTTACCAACTTCCACAACGGCATGATTCCCCGTGCCACTAAAACAATGTGGTCTCATGCATGAGGGTGGCTGGGCTTGCAACGCCATTCGAGGCATTGTTTATCCAAACGCAGCTGTTCGTTGGCATGGCAACGTTTATGGACGCTTCAAAGCTTCTCACTTCTTTCTAACAGGATTTACAGAATGCCAAACAACGGCTCGGCAGTACAATCTTAGCTTTAAAGTGTGGTGTTCTTGTTAGGTCAAATAGTAACGAAATTAGGTCGACTTAAACCATTTGAATAACGAACCTCCTTTTTTTTAATGCTGAGATTATTTGAGATTGGCACACATTCTCTTAACAAAACTATCTTATAATTTATGGGTTTCTTTAAAATTAACTTTTGCCTTTAGATTTGGATCCGATGGGTTTCAAGCGTGAATAGTGTGTGAGTTATTTGATCGAAATGTTGAACGTTAGAACTACCGCTAATCCTTCGCCAATACGCAATGCAGTGCTTATGAAGAAAGGTATCAAGCTTCTCTTACTTACCTATACCTGACACTCTAACGGACCAAAGTACGGAGGAAAGTGTATCTCCTTACCGATTAGCGTGAGGTAGATTTACCCAAACAAACCGTGGAATACGTTTAAGTGGAAAATCCCATTAACTATCAAATCAAAATGACACCCTTCCGTAGTTGCTGATTGCGAAAGTCGGGTTGGAAAGTTTACATGCTACAACAAGGACTAAAGCACTGCCCAACCCTATTCCTCAAATTACAGGAATAGTGCTTCAGGTAATAAACCATCCAATATGCACAAGTGAGAGAAGAGGTAGTTCTCAGTTCATGCGTTTTGTGTTAAGCTTGGTACTCTTTTTGTCAATGTTGGTGGAGTAACGACTCAGATCATGTCAAAACTTCCTGTCCTAAAAAACAATTAAAAAACATCGAAGGAAAAATAGCTTTCGCCTGCAGGTCCAACCGCAGAATTCATAATGCAAGAGACAAACGTCAACTATTTATTATGTGTGACCTCACATGTGGTGGTTGCATTTTGAGGAGCATCATCCCATCATTTTTGGGCAAAGTTGACTAAACAGCTAAAAAAATTTTGAAAATTTGCAAATTTTTGGACGCTTTCAAACGTGCCTTGACTTATTAGTGGAGAACTTGCGATTCACCCCAACTAATGGGTGTGGGCTTTAATGGTGACACAGAACGACAACTTCGGCAAGCGAAAATGGTCTCCTTCTCTGCCTCACCTAGACCAATTCATGAAACAAATCAGCTGCACAGCGTAAAGCATTAAATTGGAGAAGGAGGCAATTCTACCCAATCACCTTTCGGTCCGTCAAGAGATTCAAATTTGAGTTAGCCAATAGCAGTTTTGCGAGAGTAGTCGGTGCGCCATATTGTGGAGCATCCAGGCTTTATTTTTAGCGCCTCAGAACTTAACCCCGGTGTGTAAGTTTAAGTAATTTAACAAGTAGTTAACAAATTGCACATAACTTTATTACAATTAGCAATGGAACGGAATGAAATGACTAGAGTTTGAAACAAAGAAAAAAACGTCATAAAAATTGTTACCTTATTTGTTCAATAGCTCCCCGCACTTCGTGCCGCAAACATTTATCTTATTGATATGCACGGAACAGAGAGAGGTAGCATCGAAGCCATGATTTATAGGTTTTGTTGATAGCTTACGAACCAAAACATCTCAACTAGTGATTGTGTTGATCAATCCCGTAAGATTTCATGTGTCAAGAGAGCTCTTAGGATTTTAAAGAAGAGTGGGCATTATTCTGCACCACTGCTATGCCCATAAGTAAAGGCTTTTGCCTCATTTGATGTAGTCGACTATGAAATCTACTCAAGAAGCGCATTTATCGTATCGACATCAAAGGCATACCAAGACGCCTTCCAAAACGTCAAGAGTGCTACCTTTGGTTCTTTCGCTTCTAATGTGTTTGCCAGTGTTAGAATAGCCCATTCGCATGAGGATGAATATGCTCTGTCCAAAGTGGAGAACTCGTAGGCTCACCTTGTGCATGGCGAGCACACGAATGCCGCCAGCGATTAGCCGCTGTTCAACGGCCATTCGCCATTATAAAATGTGGACTCCCCAAAGCCCTAGTCATTTTTCCTGTTCAATTATAGTATGATAGTAAAACTAGGATATAACTTAAGGATGGCTTGGCAACCCGACTGACAGAATTCCGAATTTTAACCAAATGATTAACACGAAATCGCCATATTTCCTGGAATACCACTTTTAAACGATTTGATCCCGTCCCACGCTGTGTGAAACTGATAGAACGTCTTTTTGAATGCCATCATTCACGAGCATCGCTTACTTATTCACGGAGTACTCATTTGATGATCTCAGTGTAACTGCATTATTACTGTCTTAAGAATGCAGACAAAGCAGTTACGATGGAGCCAAAGCCTCATTTACTGCAAATCAGATCCTGCTCAGGGGTGGAAAAGGACGAGTTAGTAAAACGTAGAGGAACAATGCTGAAGCAAAAACCTGATAAAAATGAAATGACATGATAGCAATAAACAAGAGAGTTCTTATACATGCTTAGAGTGGAAGAATGCGCACCACTATATGCCATTTGTAACCTTGTTGCCATCTTTCCAGTTTGAAGAGGACCATAAATTGTAATGCTTATCACTTTGCACCTGCCCCACCTAAACTTCAGACATTCCATACGGAAAATACCATGCCATGCTGTAATTGACTTCTTGCATCATTGCCAACACGTTGCTTAGCAAAGGCAGAGGGAGTTTTGCAGCTGATCCTTTTGAAGACTCTAAAGGTGGACCGAGATAACTTAATTACCATATCAACAACCCCTCATGATGCCTTGCGCATATGCTAATGCCTCAGTGTGGCCAAAACTACTGCTTCTTCAACCGGAGAGATAGTGAATCACACCAAATGACATGCAGCAAATGCATTGTGGCTCCGATCATTCGACTTCTACTTTGAGAAGAACGATTTGTTATTATTTAAATCCCTCTTTGTTGCCCCAAGTTCCGCCCACGCCATTACAAGGGAGAGCTTAGCGCTTGCCACGTGGACAGAGCATATTTGTGACGTTCTCCTCTCTCATTGGCTTGGAACAAAGGAAAAAAACGACTCAATCCACAGTTACAAGCTGCCCCAGAGGACTAATGCACCATTCCCGAATTCTGCGTATGGAACCCTTTCCTCGAAGAAATGATGTTATTCCGAATCGCTATAGCGTTTTTGACATCGAAATTCACCCTAACCCCTATCTGCAGAAAAGAAAACCTATAAGCACGGTTAAAGGACCACATCAACGACATTCGACTCTTTCTCAAACGCAACAAACAATGCCTGCCATTTTGAGATTGTCAAAAGTTTCTTCTGAGACTGATGTGTCTTCCCTCATCTTTCGTAATTACATGCTCGTTGCACTAGCACCTTCTCCGTCAGAATCCCACATTAAAAGTGGTAGTTAGTAGGCAAAGACAGTCGCAGTTATTAGAAGCGGTCCACACTTCTGACAGCTTAAAAACTGACACATAAACACACAAAATAAGCATGCAACAATGACACAACTAGTGATTTCAGTATTCACGTCCTCTATAATATGTAAATTTAAAGGTACATAAGATGAGTAGAAGTAAAAGACCAAAGTCCATTAAAATGTAGACCTTTCTTTCTGCCAAAAAAAAAAAAGAAAAAAAAACAAGAACCCGGGAACTACTCCACCATTAGAGTTTCATTGGGTATTCTTCGGTAGCATAAAGATTGCCCATGATAAAGGGTTCGGAAGTCCTCTTCGGTTAGGCCAGCCGCATCAAGTGCCGCCTTCAAATCGTCTTTCGGTTGCATGTAAGGCTGCGAGAAAAGCGATTACACAACGCCATACTGATAGGAGTCAGTAGTACGTGATACTAGAACCATACGCCCATATTAAGACCAAAAGTATTTGTAAGCGCAAACGATATCACATTAATAGGACTAAGAAATGTCACAAATTAGAACTACAAGAAGATCGTAGTGCGATTCGAAACGCACATGTGCGGCGTAGCTGCTGAGGCAAATCGTTCTTGAGTTGCACAACAAAGCGAAAGAAAAGGCAATTATGAACTCAAGGACGTCACAATAGGTGGTTTCATTATAGGAGATTGATTATGCAAAAAAACATTACGCGCAAGAAATCGCTACAGAAAATACTCTGGTAATATCCACTGCTTCCTCATTTGGAAACAGGGTTCTTGATACACTTAGCCGCCAAATCACAGCGTTTTGAATTAAAACAGCTGATAAGGCCTTTACGTAATCACATTTGCTTACCGTACTCTCCAAATTTCAATGGAATATTACTCTTTATTTTCGGAATTGGATCAGAAGAGTACCAACTCCGGAAGCGCCACTATATGTTTTACAAACAGGTTCATCCGGCAAGTGAGCCTACGGATCGGAAGTATTAAGACAGGCAATAAGTACGCAACCTCCTAGGCTCTGTTCTTCATTACAACGCACTGGTTGGTGTCCGTCGTCATGAATGCCCACTTTACTTCTTCACAGTAGTAAGGAGAGAGCGTGGTCTGTAGTCGTGGTTCCCGACTCACAAGTCTTGCTTGGAGCGGTCCACAAACCAGTTGTCAGGACGGCAGACAGCAGCGATGTTGCATGTTTGCATGAAATAGGGTGTAGCCACCACTAAAGTCGTCTCTTGACAAAGTCTGCATAGTTTTGTCGTGGTGGAGCCTTTAACAACTTCGAAACACCTGAATTTGGTTTTAAAGGCAGCCAACAGTATAATCATATGTAAAACTTCTGACTCAGCATGGTAGTCATTTCAGAATTGTGCATAGCCTATAGCGGAGACATTACCGATTGCTGGGAGAGGTTGCATTAGAAACAATTTAATCCTTGGGAATGGCAAGCATCGCGAATTCCAACAATCGAAGGCACTGAGATAGGCGTACAAGCATAGCGAAACACTGTTTGCAGAGGACTCAGTATTTATTGCTAGAAGTTTTTCCTTCCGTTTGACAATTCCTAAACCTTTAATTAAGACAAGTACACCTTGCGATTACATGGACGGAGGCTGCCAACTTGTTTACATTGCAACAACCAATAATAGGATTTAATGGTTAAAAATTGCGACAAACAAAGCGCCTCAATTAAATGAGAATTCAATGCGAAAGGAGATAAGGATATCAGGCTGATAGATACGCTTTAATCTTACTTCACGACCAATATGAAATGTCCCCCAATGAACGCCCACAGAATGGGTGGCACGAATGTCACGGTGAATTTGTACAGCCTCCTGCGGATCCACGTGTTGGGGTCGCATCAAATTTCTGGAGAGGCAAAGCGAGGTTATCGTAAGTCTATGTGCGTCAATAAATCGTACTCCATGCTGTAAGGTCGTAGACAGTATTACTTAGTTGCTTTTTCCCTTAAAGGGTAGGCTTCCTTACATCACTTAATTTGCACAACGGAAGGTCAAACGTAGGAGCCTATGTATCATTTCTAGCTGAATCCTACAAATTTAATAATTTTTTTCATTGGAAGGTAGTATAAAAATACCTTAAGTGACTACCTTGGATTTAGGCCATTGCGATTTAAATAAACAAAGATGAGAGAGAATTAGGGTCGAATGAGATCTCTTGTGAATGTGGTTGGAGGAGCCAAACGTTCGGTTACGCTCTTACTTTGAAGAGCTTAAAAAACCAAGGAAGTATAATTCCACATTCTAGGACCTTGGTGAAAATGCTAATCCTCGTCTCCCTAACATTTGACAATTATGACTGGCACTAAAGTAACAAGGCTCGATTAGAAGGATAAAAGGGCTACTAGATTCTATTGCAACCCATGACATAAAAGTGAATTTAG